CACACACACACACACCTTGCAGAAAATCGACACACACCCACGTACGGCTGTCAGCACACTTTGTGTCCTGGTGTCCTTCAAGGCGCAGCTTTGAAAGATGCATCGATCAGGACGCAGTTATTGGCAGAAAGCGAGAGACTCAAGCAGAACGATTTCATGTAATCCTCTGGTGTCGAGCAGCGGAAAGCCCCGGTGGAGCTGTAGTAGTAATAATAATAATAATAATAATAATAATAATAATAATAATAATAATAACGTGGTCTTACTGTGATCACTGTTTGTCATCCCGAGGACTTTCCCCAGGAATCCTACAAGGAGAAAATATTCAGAGCGAAAAGAAGAGATGAATCTCCTCCATGTTGACGTTCAGAGTCTATAAATACATGACGGCGGCCTATCCGCCCTACCGGGGCATATGGAAGCGGTTAGACAGAGATGGGAATTGCCTTGAAATTTATAAAAGCGTTTATGGCGACTGTTGAGTCATCTGGCTGTCAGTGCGCATACCGCTCAGTCCGGATTCCGTTTGAGGAAAAACGTCACGCAAAAAAATAAATAAATAAAAAAAGACAAATGTCGTCGTGGTGCCTAAATAAAGAGGCTCTGTGGGTGCTGGAGCTGTGGGTGCTGGAGCTGTGGGTGCTGGAGCTGTGGGTGGTCCCCGAGTGACAGCCCCGCGTCTTTATGAAGTATGAACCTGTCAGTGTGTGAGCCGCGATGATCTCCTGTTTGGATCAGAAATTAAAGGGCGTTTTTTTTTTGTTTTTTCCTTCTCAGAGTTATCTAATGTGTTCAGTGTTTGTGGCGGTTTGAGGAAGAGCAAGTTCCAGGTTCTATTCTGGTCACAAGCCTGTAATCTAGCAGAGCAGAGCTGGTCAGTGCTGGTGCGCGTCTGAGCTGAAAATCCATACAAATGAGTTCAGGCTCAAATCGTCCGTTTTCAAAGCCCGTGCCTTTGGCTGAACCTCCGCGCTGCGCAGCCACGGTGCGCCTCGTGCTCTGTGTGCACTGTGTGTGTGTGTTTTTTTCTGTTTTATTGGCTTACTTTTCGTTCCTGTCGTTATTTAAATGTTTTTTAACCACCTTCTGCAAACGCTTGATGTGGATTTTAATGGTCTGATGCGGTGCGTAATGACTCCCTGTCAGGGCGGCTGTGCAGAGAAAACTTCAACAGGCTGCTAATGTTTTTTTCCACCTCATTTACTCTGCAAATTATAGATGCAGGATATCAATTAACATGGTGGATACAGCGGGAGAGGCGCTAATCAAAATGATTTCCCAAATCCTTGCGCGCCGTTTATCAGTTGTCCGGTTCCCACTAACAAGGAGGGAGAGGAGCAGAAAGGGAAGAAAAGGCTGGGCTGGATAAAGAAAGTAGTCATGTGTTGGTTTTCGTTTCAAAGACTTTCAGTGAGCTGTGCTGAGGGGAAACAGAGGAGTCAGCCCTCCCACCCTTCATCCTTAATAATCATCTGTCAAAACACCCACAAACTAATTTAACCATTTGCGCACAGATCTGGTAAATAAAGGAGGCTTTACACCCCCTCCTGTCTGGAAACATGTGCTCCAACAACTCTGAAAAAGACCAATAGGCCTGTTTTCTGTAGCCGGACGAGTCCCACTGCTTCCTTTATATGTATCCCGAGACAACACAGATGACATGAAAGCGGAGCAAAACCGAGGGCCTTTTGAGAAGATTGCTTTTCAGGCTCTAAATGTGTGTGGCTGGTCTCACTGGGGACCGCTCGCTGCGCGCACATTCAGCGCCCTGGGCCAGGGGTCCGCGCTGACAACATCAACAAACGGCCAGAAAGCCGCATTATGGAGGATTAGGAGCCTGATGAAAAATGCTGCTACAAATTAGCAACGAAAGCCCCAAAAGACCGTGGCTATATCCTTGTTCACTTTCAATTACAGACCGCCGAGGCCCGCTCACGGCCCCCCCATTCATTTAGGGCCTTTGTGAGGAAACGGTCCTTTACAAGCGAGCGGGAGCCACACAAGAGGAATCCGCGCCCACGGTGGCGGGACGTCCGTGGATGTGATACACGTCCAGGCGTGCAAGGAAACAGTTCAAGCGAATTTTTGTGCGTTTCTCACACCTTCAAACGGGTCTTAATTTGCTGCACTCTGAAGAAAACTGAAGTAGTTTAATTGGTCAGATGTGCACCTGAATTATTGTCAGCATCAGGCTTCACATCCGAGCTCAGAATTATTAAGATGGAATAAAAAAACGGTCCTGTCTCTGTGTGCAACACTTGGTTTAAAATAAAGCCCTGCAAATAATACAATTTAAAGTAATAAAACAGCAATAAAACAACCTTTTTCAACTGAATTCTATTTTATCCACTAAAAAAAAATTCTACTTTTCATGCAATAAAAAATAACGATTTTTTTCCCCTTTAAATTCACAAACATTTATTATTCTCGTCATTACAACAAAAAATGACCTATGAACATTTAGGTGTTTGTCTATTGGCAACACATGACATACTGTATGCTTCACAGATTAAATGGTGAGTAGGAGGAACAGGTAAAGGTTGAGGACAGGTATGGCGCTCTGCAGACCCACAATCACACAGCCTACGTGTCCACGGGCAAAACATGAAGGACTTTTTTTTTTCTTTGTTTTTTCTGTCACAAGTTCACCATGTAGAGAAGCTTTTAGGGGGAGTGAAAGTAGGAAAATGTTTTTTTTTTAATTATTATTTTTAATGTCAGAAGCCCGTCCGTCTGTCTCCGTGTGCTTTCTAAGTTAAACCTGAGTTTGCCGTCTCTTGTCAGCCTACGTCCACAACAACAGCCACATTCTCACCACGCACAAATAAAAACAACATCGATCATCATAAAACTCTCAGCTGTATTTAAAAAAAGAAAAATATGGGAAACACTCCCCGTAGCCGTTGGTAACGACTTTAAGTTAAAACACCAGAATCCTGGTGGTGGTTCTGACAGATGAAGGCCGCAGCCGGGAGCAGGCCGCCTCCTCTAAAACATCCTTCTCTCTCAATATTATACACACACTTATATACAAGCCATAAATAAACTCATCTCTCCTCTGACATTGTTAGGAACCCGGGAGAGCCTCAGACAGCCTGAGCAGCCGGATGTTCAGCCTACCTTCACCAGGCTGTTTACCGTCAGCGGCCACTTCGCACGTTTTTTTATTTTTCTTTTATTTTTCCTTTTTCTCGCTGTCTTTTCTTAAAAAGGACAAGTGTTCATGTTCGAGGTTTTGCTGGAAAAAGTCTGGCTCTGCGGCCCAGGCTGTAGGATGCTGTCCTGTGTTAAGTTCAAGTGGCTGGAGGCGGAGGCCAGCGCCGGGCTCAGCATGGCCAGGATCTGCGCCTGGCTGCCCGGCTGCGCGCTGTAGGAAGAGCCGCTGGAGTTGGCCGCGCCGATGATATTGTCAATGGAGAAGGAAGGCCGGCTCGGGGTGCTGGAGTCCGTCTTGAGAGGCGGCAGAGACGGGCTCAGCTGAGGATAAAAAGGCTTTCTCAAGTCGGCCCCTAAAAGGGAGGGCAGGTGATGTGGCGCGGGGAATATGGAGGCCGACGGGGGCAAGGTGCAGGGGGCGTTAGGGAACGGGAACGAGCCACCTGTGGGGTGTGGGTGGTAAGGGTTGTGGGCTGCGTGGAAGTTCTGCAGCTGGAGTCCATAGTTGTATCCGTACGGGCCGTATCCGAACCCGGGCAGGAAGCCGCCGGAGTCCCTGAGGATTTCGTTGCTCTGGTGCCTCTTGAAGCGCTTCCTCCTGCGCAAGAAGCTCCCGTTGTCGAACATGTCTGCCGAGTCCGGGTCGAGGGTCCAGTAGTTGCCCTTCCCGGGGTTGCCGGGCTCCCGTGGGATTTTCACAAAGCAGTCATTTAGGGAAAGGTTGTGCCGGATCGAGTTCTGCCACGCGGGGAATTTCTCCCGGTAGTAGGGGAACCTATTGCTGATGAACTCGCAGATCTCGCTGAGCGTGAGGCGCTTCTTGGGGCTCTGCAGGATGGCCATGGTGATCAGAGCGATGTAGGAGTAAGGGGGTTTCACAAGTGCACTTTTTCTGGGTTTGTCGCCGATCACGGTGCCGGCCTCTGCGCCGGAGCCCAGCTGGTCTGACGGACAGTCGGAGCTGCTGAGCCCCGGAGAGGAAGCCCTCTCGGCCGCGTTCTGGGAGTAATTATCGTCCGAGTCATTGTCCAAGTTGAACTCGTGGTGAATGTACTTTCCGTCCTTTCCGACGGATATGTCGCCACCGACCACATCGATGTCCACATCTTCGGACAATGCAGAGCTGTCGGACATATCCGTCCCTAAAGTCATCCTTGGACACGCCGCCTCTCGTCCCCCTCTCTCCCAGATTTCCTCCTTCTCTGGTCCGGTGAGCGCGCACACACCCTCCCTCTCCCCCTCTCACAACCACACCAGGCGTTCGCTGCAGCTTTATCTCCAACTACTGAATGCACACATGGCTAGAAGCTATTGAAAAGACTAAGAATTCTTTGACCTGTGGATTCGGCGGCTCCTTGGCGTCCGTGGCTGGTCAAGCAGGGCCGTGCGCGGAGCTCATCGACAAAACTTCAGATTTTCAGGCGTCAAAAAAAGAAAAAGAAAAGAAAAGACAGTGAGGGATGAAGAATGCTGCAGCGAATGAACTCGTGTTTTCTTCAGAAGCGTCCGTTTCCTCTTTATGCAGCAGATCGTTTAAAGGCTACTTGTGGATATCCAAACGTCTTTCCAAAATAGCTTTTACGCACGGGATTGGGTAGGTATCCAGCCAGACTGTCACACTATCCTCCTTAGCTCTCAAAAGGTATTTATAGGGCCACGCTGGTCACGTGGTCTTTGAGTCACTGTTACCAGGAACTGGAAGGAATTATCCTGCAAAAGTCAGATTCAACGAGCTTCAGAAGCTCAATTATCGATAAGAATATAAAATAATTTAAAAAAATAAGACCTGTTTTCTGTACAGGGAGATTAAATCAGTTTTTCTTGATTCTACTATGAAGTTTGAACACTTGAGCATTTGGATTCACTGCCAGGTGACATCTCTGCTGTTCTCTGCTTTATCAACAGATTATTACAAGATTACAGGAAGAAAAATAAAAATGTGGAAAATGGTGCATTTAAAAAGCAAGAAGTCTTACTGACACCATTAAAGAAATAAATTCTCCTCCATCCTCTTCATAATTACGTTTCATTTGAGAACATGAAGCTGCGTGATTTAATTAAATAGATTTTATTTATTTATTTATTTTTCAGGTGAGGGAAGCAGAAGGCGCGCAGCGGTGATGGATTTTTATGAAACAGCTCAGACACAAGCAAAGCAAGTATGAACCTTTTACTCTGAATTAAAATGTACTAATTGTTGATGTAGTCATTATGAGGAAGGTGTTCATTTCTGTTCAACAGCTGGAGCTCAGAATGACCTTCTAGAAAAAAGAAGGGATCGAAAGGTTCATCTCCAAAACATAAAACCATGTTTTATTATTATCAGCAGCAATAATGAGAATTATTTTTCAAATGCAATTAATTAGTTGAATTAAAGTAAATATATAGTGCAAAAAATAAAATAAATATAGACACAAATAAATAGACTTTATTCATTTTGGTTTAATTCACATTTTGTTTCGATTTTAAATTGTTTTTTTTGCCTCATCTTGACTAAAACAACAGGAAGCCTGCGTCTGGTCCAACATTCTGCTCCAGTCCCGGATCCCTTCTCACGGGTTTTGTGTTTTCTCGAAGTCACAACATTTCCCATCTGCATTTTCTGCGTGGTTCACATTGTTGTCGGGGGTGAAGTCAGCTGCAACCTGCTGCGCTGCGTGTCCGGGAGCAGCCAGAGGCCGCACATCAGCCTGGACGTCCCCGGTTCGTTCTGCTTCGTTACAGCAGAACCTCACCATCAGAGCTGCAGGTCCAACAGCAAACACACGCTCATATTTTTATTTTTATTTTAAAAATATAATGAACTCTTTTTTAAATTATTATAATTTTAATCCGACAGGGCCTCTGGTTTTTATCCGTTTTTAATAAATTCATGAACACGCTTTTGTTTGTTTATTTGATTGTGGATTTTCTTCTCTGATGGAAACTGTTCCGCTGAGGAATCAAGTTCAAGTCAAGCGTGCAGCACCTTGAGTCTCCAGGAGGCTGACTGATGCTCTGACCTGCCTTTAAACTCTGAAATAGACGCGCTGGCAGCTGCTCCACGCGTGACCGTCTCCAGGACGCACAGCCACTCGTTCTGTGCATTCATAGATTTCCTAAATAATTTGAAGCCAAGAGATTTATTTTTTAAATGCATGCATTTAATTTATTCATCTCCCACGTTGTCTTCCACAGCACATGACTGGATGTGATTCTTTCCTGGATATTAGAGGAATTGATGCCCCGGTTTGTTGATTTAAAGCCTAAATTTAAAGACCTGCAGCCTGTGTTTTATTAGACAGACAGTAAATGCTGCTCAGGACACATGATCAACCTGAATAAATGTATTTTATATATAAAACCCCGTCAGCAAAATGGCCCCACACCTGCTTCATTTACAGCTGTGGATGAAAATAATCTCACTTTAATCCGTTTCTGTACATTATATGAATGCAGTGGCATATAGAAGAGGCCCATATGAGGCTGTTCAAAGCTCCAGTCGGTTTTAGTTCGTGTTATCAGTGCTTCTCTGGGATCAGTGGCTTCTGCTGTTGCAGTCTGTGGTGCTGATGCGCCCCCTGCTGGCAGCAGAGGGGACATTCTTCTACTTGCAGGTGAGACTTTTAATTTCTGACTCATACAAATAAGACCACAGTGAGGACTGCTCTGCCAGAACAGAAAGCTGCTGCGATGATGACAAAGGAGCCAAATAACATAAAGTCATATGAAAGTAGCCTGTTGAGGAAATGCAGCCTCACGTCAGAGGACTCAGCAGTTTATATCACTCATAGTTTCACTGAATGCACTCCACAAACAGAGCAAGATTCACACTGTCAGCTTTCATAGATCACATTCATCTTTATTTGACCTGCAGATGCTCTTGATGTTGGAGTGACATGAAGTGAACAGAACCAGCGCTCGGACACCGTTCGGGGAGACTTTACTGCTTCATGTCTTCTCTACGAGCTGCAGCAGCTGCCTGAGAGAGATCATTTTTTTACTGTTTATTTGCAGAAGGAATAAACAGCAAATGCAGCTCTGGTTGCATTTTATTGTATTTTTCCAGGATTGCATGCTGGAATAAAGGTTAAAGGCAGGAATGAAAGGCGCTCTGTCACACTGTGAAACCCTCCAGCAACTGATTTTCATTACAACAATATTTAAATACAGCTTGAGGAACACATTTTGATTCTGATTCTTTTTAAATTCTCAAAGTTTTATTTGAATGTGTTTTTAATAGTAAAATAACAAGAATAAGGCGACTAACAGGAAAGGTGCATGTGGCAGGACATCCTGTCACAGTAAGACTCTCCTCAGTCTGCAGAGGGAATCAGGTCATGTCAGCAGCTCAGGTGTGTGATGAAACCACCTCCTACTGCTGCCTGGTGCCACGTTCACATGTTAGAGCAGAATCAGCACCAATCTATGAAAACCTAAGGAAATGTGAAGGAGGTCTCACATCAGTCTGCTTCTGCCTCCATCTAGTGGAAGGAAACGTCAGCGCTGCCTCCTCCAGTACCTTCAGTGGACCAGCTGGTCTCTAGCAGAACCAGTGCCGGTCCACACTGAACAAGCCGTTCTCTATCAGAACCGGTGCCGGTCCACACTGAACAAGCCGTTCTCTATCAGAACCGGTGCCGGTCCACACTGAACAAGCCGTTCTCTATCAGAACCGGTGCCGGTCCACACTGAACAAGCCGTTCTCTATCAGAACCGGTGCCGGTCCACAGTGAACAAGCAGCTGTGGGATGAAAGTGTGCTGGTGGAGGTCAGCTGGTTGTGACGGAGCTGTGAGCTGCTGCAGCCGGAGTTTTATCAGAGCAGGTGGATAAATGACGTTTGGTTTTGGATCTCGTGCTGCAGATCTTCTGGTTTCCAGATATTCTTGCTTCACTGTTGATCGTGTGGACGGTGGCTGTGACCCACCAGGTGGAACCAGAACAAATACACTGATTCTGCCTTTTATTCAGTCACTATACGTTTATGTGTGTTTTTGCAGCTGGTTAGGGTTCGGGTTAACCCTAACCCTTCACTCTGTCTTTTTTATACACGTTTCATAGTTTTGTGAGTGTTTTTTAATAACATTTAATCAGTTGGTGACTCGCCTCCGGGACCACAGCTGTCCACAAAACTACTAAAACTACTAAAATACTGCTTGTTGCCTTAAACCTCAGTTCTAACAGTACTTCCTGTACCTCCACGTATACGTCTCCAGGTACGAGGGAACGGGTTTCCACAACTTATGGTCCCATCATTGTTCATTTTCACTTCACAAGCTTCACTGCTTGGTGCTCACTCACTGGTTAAGGGCGTCGAGTTTGAGATTGTCAGTGAAGTTTTCTAAATAAAATGATCCTGAGAAGAGGAACAAAGCTGTTAGACTGACCTTCATGATTAAACATAAAGGAAAAGCCAGCAGTTAGAGAACTACAGATTTCTGCACATGTGAACGTACAGTCATGTAACATCCACGTCTTACTCAGTCTGTAGGATTTGATCAGTTTGATTCAAATCAAAGGCCTGTATTGCAGCTTTTAGGGTTTATTTCCAGCAGCGGTTTTGGTTTAGTTTGATAGTTTTGTGAGTGTCTAACCCTGCCTGTGACTCTGATCAGTTTAGTCAGAAGATGAACTGATGATTCCTGACTTGCTGTGATTTGTGTGAATATTCTGTGTGACATGTTTAGCACATGTCAGGCTGGTGCCGCTCCATCATTTTGTTTTAGGAGATAAATATTCAGGCTTTTGACTAAGATCCAGTGAGTCAGTGCTGCTGCCATGTCTGGGCCTTCAGCTTGTGTTAGTGGAGGATAAAAATTACATCTGAACCAGTTTGATGACAGAATTGATCCTCGTTTATTTTCTAATAAAATGAATGATGTCAGATTGTGTCAGAGCAGCTTGAGCTCATATCTGATCGAGATTCATTTGAAATGAAGGAAGACGTTTATTTTTGAACATTTGTTTTCATGATGAAACCATCAGTAAATCTAAACATGTTGTTCTTCATTATCTGTCACAAACAAAGACCACGTTGGTTTTACTGCAAAAATCCATTTATTCTCAGCGACTTGTCGCCACCAATGATAGCATCCATTCTTCTCTGATAGAGTTTGTACATCAGCAGACTATTTACACACACAGAGAAATAACAACCATATAAGAAACATGTAAACTTGAGATCAGACTCAACAGGATCTCTGCTTGCAGCACACATCTGGCCTTACATCCTCTGAGGAATGTGTCAGACATCTACATGGCTTTCAATAGGAATGTTTAGAGTGAGGCTCGGTCGGGTTCTTATGTGGGTTCTGAAAAATAAAACCTGTCCTTAGATGAGTTCAGGTGACAGAATACTAACCAGCCTTTCCTACATGAGGCTGTAACGTCCCGCTGCTCCTGCCTGCTGCCATCCCCCCTCACTGCTCCTTCTGATGGTTCTGGTAAAGCAAGAACATCTCACATGTACCGGTCCAGTCCTGACGCAAAGTTGGCCTGTCTCATGTAGCTGTTGTTGTAGGAGTTCATGGGGCTGGACAGGCCCAGCAGCTGCTCCGTGTGCTCGGCGCAGGAGCTGGGGCGCAGCGCCGGCAGGGACAGCCTGTTGCCGGAGCAGTACACCTGAGAGCTGCCCGGGGAGAAGCCCGACTGGCTCATGGCGGGCAGGTTCGGAGGAGAGGCCGAGGAGGAGTAGGGGTAGCCGGCGCTCAGGTTGGATGAGATGTTCCCGCTGTTCCTGCTCAGCATGTTGGCAGACGGGTTGACGCTCTGCGGCTGGAAGCAGGCCGACGGGTCGGTGCCGGTGACCGAGCAGCTGGAGGTCATGGCGCCCAGGTCGCCTCCGCCCAGCCCCAGCGCCTGGGAGTTGAGCTCCGCCACCGGGCCGCTCTGCACCACCGTCTGCTGGCTGATGATGTTGTCGATGCTGAACATGCGCGGCTGGCCCTGGCCCACCCCGCTGCTCTGGTAGTGGTGCAGCATGGCCGGATGCGGGGAGGAGGCGGCCAGCTGGGAGCCGTACCCGGAGCCGATGCCCGCGTACAGGCTGTTGGGGTAGGACGGCCTGCCCATGGGCGTCGGGGTGAAGGCGCTGGAGCTCTGCATGTAGCCCGGGTACGTGCTCACGTCTGTGCGCTTGAACCTTTTCCTCCTCCGCAGGAAGCTGCCGTTGTCGAACATGTCCTCGGCCGCGGGGTCCAGCGTCCAGTAGTTGCCCTTGCCGGGCCTGCCGGGCTCCCGGGGGATCTTGACGAAGCAGTCGTTGAGGGTCAGGTTGTGGCGGATGGAGTTCTGCCACTTCTTGGAGTTCTCCCGGTAGAAGGGGAAGCGCTCCATGATGAACTTGTAGATGCCCCCCAGGGTGAGCTTCCTCTCCGGGGAGTTGGCGATGGCCATGGCGATGAGGGCGATGTAGCTGTAGGGCGGCTTCCCCCTCTGCACCGGCCGCTTCCTGCGCCGGCTCCCCGTGGGCAGGTGCTCCTCCGTCTGGCCCAGGGCGGCTCCGTCCTCGGTACCGGGGCTGCCTCCCCGGGGCTCCGACTTGATGAGGATGTTGTCCTTGGAGCGGGCCTGCAGCATGAGAGGCGGCGGAGGCAGCGGGGAGTCCAGGCTGACGCTGGGGGACATGAGGACAGGACTGGCCTCGGCGGGCGAGTGCTCTGCGGTCATGTTGCACATGCCAGAGAAGTACGAGTAGTTTGCCAGATTCATAAAAGAAGCAGAAAGGCGCTCCTGCTGCTGCTGAAATGACCAGAGGAGGATGTTCCGCTGCCTGCTGCTCCGGCCACAACCAGCCGCTGTGTTCGGGTCGGTGTGTGTCTGTCCAGGTGAGAGGAAGGCGTTGACAGTTTTATAAGACAGGCCAGCAGTGACGCCACTGGGCCGCCTGTGACGATGGAGGCAGGAGGACCCTCCACCTCCTCCACCTCCTCCTCCTCCACCCAGCAGGCAGATGGACTCCACAACAAGCTGCTCTGAGCTCACGGGAACAGTTCAGCTCTATCTGGACAGAGTTCAGTCTGCTGGCCTTCAACCACACTGAGAAGAACATGAACCTGACCAGCAGGTCCAGGTTCAGGTCCAGGTCCAGGTCCACTTCCACCCTGAAGATGTTCAGTCATGAGAACATCAGTGAGGAGGTGGTTCTGGACTCCTGCTGTCAGCTTCACTTCATCACACTGGAGGAGGCAACATGCTCAATGTACAGAGAAACTAATAACCAACGTTTTATAACCGTTTAAAAACATTTCACAGTTATTGAACAGATTCTCACAGTTCTGTTAAACCACAGATAATAAAATGACAGAACACAGGATGAACCTCCAGGTGAGCAGGACACAACGGATCGGTTCTGTTTTAACTTTATTTGTATTCAGTCAGCAAAAGAAACAGAAGTTCTTGTACAGATATGTTCTGTTATTTAAAAGGAAAAAATGCATATTAGGAATGAAATAAATGGTAAATTAATTATTAGTAATTTATTCTTCAATAATATTTGACCATAAAAGTCTGGTGTTTTGTATTGTATTTAAATCAGCCAGAATATTATTATTATTATTATTATTATTATTATTATTATTATTATTATTATTATTTTCCTGATATTTGCTGTTATTAGAAAGCAAAAATATGAATATTTTAATCTGCATTTGAATGTGTGACTTTAAATAATTTAGACAGTTTTATAGTGTTTAATAATTAAAGAATCAAATCTTTGTCACAGATATCTGCTGGTCAGTTTTTGTTAAGTTTCAATGGTCGACTGTTTTTAACTTATTTTCTCTGATGTCCGTACTGTTGGGTTTTCATTCCTTCTTTTTCTTTTCTTTATTTTTTTCCTACAGCTCAGTGAAGCCCGTTAGAACCCACAGATGGCCCAAACAGCTCAAACCGGAGCTCTAACCTGTGGTGGTTCTGAATCCCACCCTGGCCCGTCCTGAGACGTCCCGTTGGAGCCACAGACTGAGTGAGTGATCCGTGCTCTGTGCTGCTCTCTGGGCCTCCAGCTGTGTGTATATCCAGGACAGAACCAACAGCCACAGAGCTGCTCCAAACCCAGCAGCCAATCCACCGATTGAAAAACAATAACAAGCCACTGAAAACAAGCAATTGAGCTATCAAAGCTTTTGGGCAAGAAAAGTAAATATCCCTTCATTTCATTTTCATTTTTGGAGAGTGATAATCAAACAGCGGCCTGGCCGGAGAGCAGAGGTGTTATCTTATGGATTGTGAAGTGAAAACAGTGTTGTGCACACAGTTGGTGTGCAGACAACAGCCTTCAAACACCAGGACGTGATGGTGCTTTTAATTGATTATTTAGGCAAACAGGGGCTGAAGGTAATTACAAAAGGTAGGATACACAACGAGGGACCGCCGGCGTGGCTTTGAGCAACACGGGCAGAGGCGCTGGGGACGAATGAAAGGAAAACATGAGAAAACCTGATTGATGGAGACGAATGTTTAGCACAAGATGGTCAACGGACGGTTTGAGGAGTGTAAGAAGGATGGAAGTCATTTATTAGAGATCCTGCAATTAGTAGATCTAATGAAAAGAAACACCAAATAAAGGAAATGTCTTTTGGAGGAATGATGCCAAACCTCCCACATTAGTTATTAAACACGTGTTTCTTTCAGTTTGTCTGCCACATGTAAAGTCCAGGAGGACAAACGACGACCGACACAGAGACAGACAGAGATGATCTGAACAAGATTTAATGGCTGACATCAGATTAGTACATGTTTTAGAAGAATTAGTCCTCAGATGTGTTCACAGCCTCCCATGAAAGACAGAAACCAGCTTCAGTCACTGGAATGAGCTGAAACTGACTAAAGTAATAATAAATAAACATCTAATGAGCAATATGACGTTGGTTTGAACAGTGGTTCAACAGAAATATATTAAAACACACACACAATCCAACCAGCCTGATGGACCTATGAACTAACATGGAGCTGAACAACCCTCTGAGCCAATCACTGCCATCAGGTGTTCCTGTAACTCTCAGTCAGACTTCTCACCTGTTGACAGGTGTTCTGGACCACTGCTCATCAGCAAAGGCCTCTCATTGGTCCACTGCTCATCAGCAAAGGCCT